AATTAATTGTTTGTGATTTATCCAGAAATTTTTCAAATGTAATTGCTATCGAATCTTGTAAGGACCATGTACTATTATAATCATAATGACTTGGATGAAAACGGCAAAGAAAATGCAGAAGAATGAACAAATAAAACATCAACAACCACCATTCGAATCATCATCGAACATCAACATCATCCATGTCCATCACAAATCACCAATTGATACAATTAATAATTTAATAGTCTTAGCAAATCAAACGCATCATTATGTTGTTGATACAGAATCTGAACGTAAAAAATTACGAAATGATGCTCTAATACAAATCCAATTTATACACACAATTAATGAATCAACAATAATATTAATTGAAACGATGCATTTACCTGATTTACATACTGAATTATACAAAAAAATTAAAGACCTATGGTGCATCATCTTCAATAACAACAACATCATCATCACATGGGGCGATTTGGACAATGAATTTAGGAATTTTTATCACCTCGATATCATCTTTTTAGGTAATTCATTTCGTCATCTAAATTTACAATATTTGTTTAGAGGATGGCATAATGATCGATGTCGAACGCATCCCGAAAAGGGAAAGCGTGATAAAAAACCAGGTCCAATATCGACTATGTTAATCGATATGCCTGGTGATGATGATTTTAATGATATCAATGATGGACAATCAAAAAATTATGTACAATATAAATGTGATCATCCAAGCCATTATGATTATAATAGTACATGGTCCTTACAAGATTCGATAGCAATTACATTTGAAAAATTTCTGGATAAATCACAAACAATTAATTATTGGCAATGTGGTATCGATCTAGCACTGGACACATGGAAGAAAAAAACATTCAGTCGCAAACAATACAACAAGCATATTGAACAACAAGAACGATTAAACATGAAGCAATATGCTGTTGATGACTGTCTCGCTGTGGCTGAATTATACTTCCATATGTATCCAGAAACAATAAACAACAATCAACTACTTCACGAAGTACCACAGCAAACAACAACAACACATACAACAACAGCAACAGCAGAAACAACAATTATGTCAATTAATTTTGAAGATGAATTATCAATCATTAGTGAGGATGAATTATTGGAAATAATTAAACCAAAATTCGATAACAAACAAGCAATTGTCCATCATACATACCATCAAGATGATGAATTAATTATAGCACCAATGCAACATGAAATTAATGAATTAATTCAAAACCAACAACCACCATCAAATACACTAACAACTTCAACATCAACAATAACAAAAACTGAACGACAACGACGAAAAAATCAAAAGCTTAAATGGAAGCAAAAACATAGACCAGATTTTCAAAGAAAGATCAAAAGACCGATTTATTATCGTTACGATTACACAAAAATCCGGTCTCAATTAGCCGATGATGATATACATACAAGTCACCAGATAACAATAAGCAAGAACAAAGGTGAAGTTTTGATCGGATTCAAATCCAAAGAAGAAGAAGAAAAAGCAAGAAAGAAGATGAAAATTAATTATTTTTCACGTGAACAATATAAACAACGTTGGGGGTAAGAAAAAAAAAAAAAAAAAAAAAAAAAAAAAAAAAAAAAAAAAAAAAAAACAAAAAAAAAAAAAGATAAAAAAAAATTAATATCAACCAAAACAAAAAAAACAAAGATGGAGAAAACAAAAAAAAAAAAAAAAAAAAAAAAAAAAAAATAATAATAACAACAAATAAAAATAAATAAATAAAAATAAAGTACAGACAAAAAGAATATAAAAATATAAAAAATATATAATGATAATAAATAAACGGAATAGAAAAGAAAAGAAAAGAAAAAGAAAAAAGAAAAAGAAAAGAAAAAAAAAAGAAAAAAAAAAGAAAAAGAAAAAGAAAAAAAAAAGATAAATAAATAAATAAATAAAATAAAATAAATACAAATAACAAATAAATAAGCTGACAACAACATCACAAACAACAACCAATAAAAACACCTCCACAATATACAACCACGACAGTATAAACAACAACATTGGACAAACCCGAAAACAACATCTAAGGACATTTACATAAATAAATTATCATCTTCACGTTTTCATTTGCCTGTTTAGATTATCAATGCTCAACAAGTCAACCACAATATATATTAATTCAATACAATCATATGCATGGCTTATTACAACATGCACATTAAATTTATAATTAATGATATTAAAGATGAAAATTTAATTGATATTTCATTAGATTCATCTTCAACAATTTCATCATGGTTAATTGATTATTATTTTACAAAAGCTTATTTAAATCAAGTGAAAAATTCAAATAAATCTATGCAACCAAATATTATTATTGGTTTACATGATATGTTTATTATTTTCCCAATAATTCATTCAACATTAACGCCAACAGAATTTATTCAATTATGTAGAAATAAGTTTCAAGAAATTAAAGATAATAAAATACTAGATCATTATAATAATTATTTAAATCGTTGTGGTTTAAAAGATATTATTGATTTATTTCATCAATGTAAATTAAAATCATTTATTAAAAAATTATTTTCAACAAAAATAATGTTAAGGATGAAATTGATCGTTTAATTTTGAATTATTTATTAGAAATAGGATCAGAACGATTTATTTATGATATAAACACACAATTATCAACTGCAGAAACAAATGAGAATATACTAAAATTATTTGACAATGAAAAAAATCATGTTGAACAAACAATTACTAAAAATTATATAAAGCATTTGATAGGTACATATCTAGCACCTTTATTGGATACATGCAATGAACACGCTCTTATTCATTGTCTTGCTACACCTGCACGCGTAGGAATTGAACGACGGACAATAGTTGAATTACGACGTTTATCAAAAAATGAATGTTAACTATTTATCAAATACTTCTATCATTTCTTAGACCTGAAGAATTAATATTAAGTCGATTACTATCATCAAAACAAGATTTTTATCAGATCTTGAAGATGCAAAAGAAATGAGAAATGATATTACAAAAAATATTTCATTATATGGACCATTTCAAAATTTTATTGAAGGAAATGAAATTGAATGTTATAAAAAGAATTTACTCAAACAATTATAACAATAGACTATATAGGAAAAAATGTTAAATAATAAACAAGTTAAACGATATTCAGAATCAAATTTTAACCAAATCAAAGAAACATATCGATATTTATTACCTGCATTATTACACATACCCATTCATCATTTTCAACAATATCTCATGTATTTGGAAAAATAACTTTAGCTCCAGATTCTGAATTAGCTCAATTAACTGATGTTCTTAGTATATTAAGACAAAATAGTTATTACATTAAACGACCTAAATTATATATGAATTTAAATATACATTCATTTTCAATACCAAAATTTTAGTTAACAATTATTACACACATCATCGTCATCAATGATCATAGAACTTATCAACAGCATAACATCAGTATGTGGGGACACACACTTTTCGTAGGAGGGGGAGAAATGTTAACGGTATATACACTTGTACCTAGTTGTGCGCTTCTCTCTTCTCTCTTCTCTCTCCTCTCTTCTCTCTTTTCTACTTTATATGTTTTCTTTTGTTTGTTTCTATATATATATATGTGTGTGTTCGTACGATGTAACCAGAGTTAGATTATATAAAATAAACACACACGTTACGCTCGTGAAATCGAGCTAACAGCTGCTATACCTTGCATCAACTTTATCACTGAGTAAAGATATCGCATAAGAGTTTTATTAGTATGATCTGTCGACTGAAATGAGATAAAACTTTTATATCATATCTCTACTCAGTAATAAGTTTAATACAAAGTTTGACATGATAAAAAGACGAAGAGAGAAAATATGTTTGTTTAGGGGTGTACATGTTACAAGAGAATCTTTGCATGATTTTTGGGTGAGGGTGTGGTGTGCGTGTGGATATGTTTTCATCACCGACACCCACTCCCTCACAGACGCCCATATCCCACACCCTGCACCTCCACATCCACACCCATATTCACACATACACCCACATCGACACTGACCACCCGCACCCCCCCCCCTCCCAACCATCGCACACACGGACACACACCCTAGCGCATTGAAATTCCCAAAATAATACTAGTACGATGGTGTTGGTATGTCACGAGTTTTGAAACACCCAAACCTACACCCATATCCACTCGCATCCTATGCTTGCTGTGTTGCGCACGAAAAATTTGTTTCACTTCGCAGTTTTATCTTTCTACTTAATAAGAGGGATAATTTTCTTCGATAGCGGCCCCATAAACCTCCATAACACAATGCATGTTGTTGACACATATATCAGTAAATTTCTATTGACTCACGAGTTAAAATGCGCATCTTCGCTGATAATACAAGTTTACGTGGAGGAAAAACAAATAATGTTTTCGAAAAAGAGATAAAGAAACAGCTAAACAATGCATTCTGCGATAAAAGACACTCATTTGTTTTTATTCACTTTGCCTAACGACTGCCGAGCAGTGTGTACTAACGTAAGAAAAACATTAGGAAGCATAATAGCTGTTTTTTCCAGTTCAATTTGTTAAATATTTCCAAGAAGCGTTCAACAACAGGTAACGAATCCGCTCCAAAAGGTGTCACATATACAGCATATCGGGGATGTACAAGAAGTTCAGGGAGATGTTGGTGATTCCAAGTTCTAACCAAACTTAGTACTCTGTTGCTATAAAAAGGTCCAACGCTGGGTCTAATGTGCTGCAGGATACCGCTTCACACTCAGTTTTCTACAGAGAAACACGGTGAACCAAGACTAGAGGGTGTGGGTGTGTGTGGGTGCGTGTTTTTGTTATCCTAATCCACGCCGAAGGTCACACCCACACCCCACCCACACCCACACCCACACCCACACCCACACCCACACTCTCTACCTAAAAAATTATGCTCTATAAGATGAAATAGATATTACACAAATCTAAGACTATGATTGAGCACCTTATACGGGAATCGTACGTGGCTTAGATGGAGTGGCTCTTAAAGAGAATAAAAAGGCACTCGAATATAGCTAGCTAAGTTTGATGCCTTTTGAACGCATAATTCCACAATTGGTCTAGTACACATCAATTTATGTCAGTGGGGTAAAAGATGCCCCCATGAACCATAAGTATGTAGTGAGTGCGTTTATAATTATCTGAATTTTGTAGTGTTCTTTATCATAACATACAAATAAGTGTATTAGAAGTTCCAATCTTCGCACTGAAATAATATTTATTAGATAAAATAAGTCTAAACCATCGTTCAAAAAAATATCGAACTCATAATTTCGGTGAGGCTGAGCCTCCAGACGCCGAATTCGGGTAAGGCTCATACCTCACCCAGCCTCTAGCTTCCGCCGCCTATACTTTTATCTCTGCCTTCATAGGAGTCATTTTTTCTTCATTTCTCCTTTCTCTGCTTGCTGGGTTCTTTTCAATTGTTATTTTCTTCCTTTCTCGTCTTCTTCCGTTCTCTCTTTTTTCCTTTTTCCTTTTTTGCTTTTATTATCGTTCCTTTGTTGTTCTCTCTTATTATCCTCACGAGCTAATTCAATATTCAGTGTACACAGATAAAAGTGAATTATGTAAAATCTTTTGCGCAGAAATTGTAGCTTATATTTATAAAAAAAAACTACTTTAATTATCTTACAATGTATGCACTTTCGAGTGTTACATGGAAACGCAAAAGAAAAAAAACAAATTCATGTATTCATAGAAGAGAAAAATAACTTGTCATTCAATCCTGTTTCCTTGACAGATCGACGTCGAGACGATTGTATTAGCTTAGAATAAAACCAAACGATCTCAGTGCTATACAATGGATTGTCTCCTTAATAAACCTTCTGCTGTTGCGACACCAAGTTCTCTCGATCTTCCACCGACCAATGATGGGCCGCCTCTCTCTGCAATTTCTTGTCCTCCATCATCACATCCCAATCGTCTCATCGAGTTTGAAGACAATGACACTACGATGCGTCTATTAATGCAATATACGACCGAGTCAAACATCCGCAATAATTCATTACAATTTGATCCGCGTGAATTTTATCGTCGATTCGATGTACATAAGATGGAACTTCTCACTCCGCAGATTCTCAGCGAGGTAGAAAAAGGACTAGTAAAAGATTTAAGTGAAGGGCTATCTTTTATGGTGATAAATAGCGGTGCAAGCTCATCGTTCAATGCAGCTCAGTTTAAAAACTCCCGTATGAAACAGAGTGAACTCAGTCCAGTCATCATCGAAGCGGCTCTCACGCATATCATCGAGAATTTAGATAAGCATCCTAACTTGATAAAAGCTTTAGGAAGAGGCAAAATTGGCTACCACGACAAAGGTACAATGCTCAACGATATGGGTGTGCGAACATTTGTAATCAAAGGATCAGAAAAAGCGAATAATACAAATTAAAAGCGGTTTGAGAGATGCTATTGTATCTACAATTTATTATTCTATTATCATAAAATAAATTTGATTCTTTATAACATTTGACTGCTAAAATATGTAGATATTTGCTTCTTTCCATTGTTCGTCTCTACACACCAAGCGCTTGAGATGAACATGACATCTGTCAGAAAGGAAAAAAATAGGGTATTATTCCGTGACAGATGCGTGTTTTTATTCTTGTCAAAAAAAGGTCTATTTATTTTCTGATAATATGCACAATTTAATCATATACTTTCTCACTAGGAAAAACCAGTGAGTTATTATATTCGAATTCTTACACATACTGTCAGAAAAATAAAGAAAGAAAAAATAAAAACATACGATGTAAATGCATCAGTCATCTATTGTTCATTATACATGTCGCTGTTGTCTGAAGAAGACTTCGTCAAAGTTGAAATGTCACATTGATCAATACAACTAAAAAAGAAAATCGAAACAGTATTATACGAACTCAATATTGACATCTATGACAAAATTTTCGAGATTATAGACGAACGACTAAGACTCGTCTAAAAAAACTTTTCAATTCATCAGTAGAAAAAAACAAAGTTTTCTGTAAAAATATTTATCGAATGCAACGTAGAAAAATAAAGAGGAATAAATAGTTATCTTTAGAATAAATCAATTTGATTGTTGAAGAAAGAGATGTAAAAATGAAAGATGATTGTTGCTGTCGATATTACTGCAAAATTATGTTTGAAGATAAGGGTGTGAGTGTGGGTGTGGGTGTGGGTGTGAGGTAGATGTAGATGTGGGTGTGATGTAAAGAAGATAAACACCCACACCCACACTCACACACCCACACCCACACCCACACCCACCCCCACACCCACACCCACACCCACACCCACA